CATCTCCCCGGGGGCCTCCTCCCCCAGAAGCCCCCCGAGGGCCCCCTTGGGGGCCCCCGCGGGGGCCCCCATCGCCACCAGCTCACCTTGACTTTGCCAGCGAGCCCCCGGTCTGTGGTGACCCCGGTGTTCTCCAGGCCAGCAGCAGCAGAAACAGAAGCAGCAGCAGCAGCAGAGACGGCTAAGAGGGCCCCCAGCGCTGCTGATGGGGTGTCTGTACAGGGCAAGGGCAATGCTGATGTGGACCGGCTTTCTGCCTTTTTCAGCAGCGCCTTCATAAAGGCAGCAGAGAAGGAGAAAAAGTCGACGCTGCAGCACGCGCAGAAAGAACACACCGGCGAGCCTGCAGCAGCAGCAGCAGCAGCAGAAGCCGGCACGAGGCGAAGTGCCTCCAGAGCCTCCCTGCGGTCTGGCCGCAGAATCCACATTGAGCTACAAGACGCTGCAGACGCAGCAGCGGCAAAAAGCAGCAAAGTTTATGAAGAAGAGGAGCAGCAGCCCCTGAGCCCCAAAAGCCAAATAGCCCGGGCCCAGGCAATTGCCTTCATGGAGGGCAGCGCCCCCAGCAGCAGCCACCGTAGCAACAGAGCCCCTTTTGGGGATTCCAGGTTGTCAAGAATAGATTCTTTTGGTTCCGTCGCAACTGTCAGGACCCTGAGAAGCCCCAGTCCAGCTGCAGCAGCAGCAGCAGCAGCAGCAGCGGCGGTGGCGGCGCCCGCAGCCACGTCACCCAGAGCAGCAGCAGCAGCAGCAGCACTCGGAGACGCTGCTGAAAGAGCTGCAGCTGCAACACAGGAAAATCGGGTACTGCATAAGGGGCCTCCTCCCCAACCTCCGCCTTCCTTACCGCAAGCAGCGCCAGAAGCTGCAGCACTCAAAGCAGCAGCACCAGCAACGCCAGCAGCAGCAAAGCCAGCAGCAGCAGCAGCAGCAGCAGCAGATGAAGAAGGCGTGACGCCGGCCTTCCGAACCCGCCGCGATTTGGCGGGGGAAAGGGGAGAACAAAGTGGAGCCTCTCGGGAGATGGCGCAGAGCAGGTCGAGGGTAGCAGAGCCAAAAGAGAGCAGCAGCAGCAGCAGCAGCAGCTCAGCAGCAGCGCCAGCAGCTGGTCCCACAGCAGCAGCCCCTGCGGAGCCAGTGAGGCCCAAGGGCCTTGAGAGCAGCCACGAAGGAGAAAAGGCGAAGTCCAAGTCGCCGCCCGCGGCCCTCAGCAGCAAAGGTGCAGCAAAAGCAGCAGCAAAAACGCCAGCTCAGGGGCCCCAGGAATCAGAAGTTGAGGGACTTCTGCGAAAGTATTTGGGGGACAAACCAGAAGCTGTGGAGGGCCCCGTAGTCACGGTGACTGCACACAAAGGGAGTGCGCGGCCATTGGGGGTCGCCGCAGAAACAGCAGCAGCAGCAGCAGCAGCAGCACAGGCCTCTCGGGAGCACAGCGATGCCTGGGCAGAAGAGGGGCCTCGTGCGCGGGGGACAGAAATGAGAGAAAAGAAAACGGGAGAAGGGGGGGGCCCACAAGGGGCACCCTTGCCTTCCACGCAGCCCAAGGCAGCTAGAGTTAGGGCGGAGTGGGAAAGCGCAGTTGAGTTTGAGAAAAGAAATGCAGCAGCAGCAGCAGCAGCTTTACATGCAGAAGAAAACCCTGAAGAGATGCAACAGCCCATCATTAGGCTCGGCACTAGGGCCGGGGCTTCAGGGGGCCCCTCTCGCATCATTGCTGGGGTCTTGAAGGCCCCACCTAAGCTAATGAACAAGTCTGGCCCCACAGCCCCCCCACGGTCGCAGCTGCATGCAGCAGCAGCTGCTCCGCAGCAGCCTGCAGCAGCAGCAGCAGCAGCAGGTGCTGCGTCTCCAGGCCCTTCTGCAGCAGACCGAGCAGCAGGCGCTACACGCGCGGCTGAGAGCGGGAGCCGCAGCAGGCCGCAGATAGTGCCCCCCCTTGATGCTGCAGCAGCTGCAGCAGCAGCAGGCGCAGCAGCAGCAGCTGCTGCAAAGCCTGACGAGCTTTTGCCCGCCGAGTCCAGCGAGGGTCTCTTGAAGGTCCCTGACGAGCAGCCGCAAGGGCCACACAGCAGCGAAACGCATGCAGGGGGGCCCCCCGGGGGGGCCCCCCATGCATCTAGTGGGAGCCACCAAAGGAAACGCCTCTCCGCTGGAGACGCCACTGCTGGGAGTTGGGCAATGGCAACTCCAAAGATAAACATCAGTGCCTTAAAAACCCCGAATTCGTCTTCGACAAATTTGCCAACTTCTCTTACTTAATGGACTGTTTTGGGGGTTTGTACAGGACAGGGCAGACTCGATTTAAAGAAAACACTGGGCCAATGGACCTCATTTGTTTTCTCGTTTCCCCTTTTCTCCATTTTGTGCTGCTGCCGCCACTGCCGCTCAGCTGCTGCTTCTTCAGGCTTTGCTTTGCTGCTTGCTTTTGCCTCTCCGTTGCTGCTGCTGCGCTGCTGTGCTGCTGCGTTGTTGTGCTGCTGCTCACGGGGAGCCTGGGAAACAGGCAGCAGTAGGGTTTAGTTGCTTCTTGTTTTCTACTGAGCGCCTTTCTGTCTAGTGCAGCAGCATCTTTATTGGCCAAATGGACATTACTCATTTTCCTAAATAAACTGCAAAGTTTCAAAGTCAGATAAGGAAAACCAAAAGAAGCAAAGGAGCCCTAGGGCTAAATGCTTGCACAGCTGCCGCTGCATGCGCATGCAAATGGTTGGGGCTGCCACGAGACCCTACGCCGGCAGCTAGCCAGCTGTGTAGTCGCTGCAAGGAGGCTGCAGTTTAGCTAGCTAGCTAGCTAGCTAGCTAGTTAGGTGTGGCTAGCCAGTGCCGCAGGCACTGCACGGCTGCAGCTGCCCCTCAGCTCTCGGGCTGGCAGCTTCTGTCTTTTCAAAGTTTAAAAAGAATAAGTTGTGTGGGGTAGTTTTGTTTCAGGTGTCTGTACACTCGCGGCTCTTACAGCTGCAGCCACAGAGCTGCTGCAACATCACTGATGTTCCGGGGGCTCAATCCTGCGGCATTTTCTGCGTTCTTTTGCCCCAATGTGTTTCTATATACATAAAGAATATATGCATTAATATATATATAATTATGCTTACATATATTCATATATAATTCATAAATCGAGCTTAACATGCTTGCCAGCCCGGCCTGCTGCTGCTGTGCATGCAGTGCGCATGCAGCCCCTCGGCTTCGCCTCCTGCACGCATGCAGATATGAATGAAAAAATTGTATTACTTTTAGTTCTCTTTTTGTCTCAAATATGGCGCCAAATAGTGCAAAAAGTGACGCAAAATGGAGAATAAAAAGATTAAAATTATCAGAAAGGATATAACGAGACAAAGAAAGGAAAAACTTTGATTGCGCCTGAACTCACCAGCCACCAAAAGACCCCCAAATCGCCCAGACGGCACTTGGCTCTGCTGCGCTGCTGCCTTTCGCTTTGCTGCGGTCCGTTGTGCTGCTCCTTTCATTTTGCTGCAGTCCGCTTTTGCTGCTGCACACTTCAAACTTCACATTTCAAGATTCTAGACTTCCCAAGGCAGGCTTACGGGGCCAGATCTACGGCAGCACCATCTCCCTGCTGCCTCGGGGGCCCCCACGGGCCCTCAGGGCCCCCTAGGGGGCTCTCAGGGGCCCCCAGGGGGCCCCGAAGGGCCCTCAGGGGGCTCTTAGGGGCCTCCAGGGGGCCTCCGGGGGCTCCCATCTCGCTGAGACACCCCAGAAAAGGGTCCAACAGGCGCACATTGAGCCACACCAGACGGGGCCCATACTGCGCCAGAAGCTGCTGCTTCTGAGAGGCAGCAGCTGCAGAGCATTTGCCTTTCTCTCTGGCATTTGTAGCTGCAGAAGGTGCGGCAGCAGCAGCAGTTTCTGTTGCTGCCGCTGCGGCTGTTGCTGCTGTTGCTGCTGTAGCTGCAGGCGATGGTGGTACTGCTTCTGGAGCCGCTGGCACTGCTGCTGCTGCTGCTGCTGCTGTTGCTGCTGCTGCGCCTTCTGCTGCTGCTGGCGCTGCAGCAGCGCCGCAGCAGGGCCAGGGCTCGACTGACACCAAAAGGGCTCCGCTGCTCAAGAGCTGCTGCATGTGTCTCAGGCCTGCAAATGCAAAAACAAATTGCTGCTCGTGCTGCAGCATGAAAATATCGAAGAAGCAAAAGTTATTTAATGCAAAAACCACTTCGACAAAAACAACTTCAGATGGTTTTATTTCTGCATGCAGAATCATTTGCATTAAAAGAGCTCGAGATTGGGCGCATGCGCATGCAGCAAAATACGAATTTTAGTTCTAATGCATATAATGGCTTTTCACGAATTTATAAAACTTTTCCAAAAATAAACATTTCTGTTTTATCTAAATACAAACTATTTCATAAACAATTTATAAACATTATGCAGGTCTGTGGGACCCCGGCTGTGCAGTGTAGGCGCTGGTGGCTGCGGAAAAGCCCCAAAACGCATGCAGCCCCGGCTCTGCATGCGCTCCCGTCCCCGCATGCATGCAGCCCCGTTTTTGCATGCAGCAAAAAGCCCCTAACGGGGCTTTGTTTGTGGCCTAAAAGCTGAGTTCAAGTTGCCTTTTTGTTGTGCAACTCATAATGGACCTTTACATGTGCACTCCTGCCCCGAATTGCCGCAGCCTCCAGAGCCTCCAAACACATCTCTCTGCAGAGTCCCTGCAGCTAAGGTGCCCCAGGGGGCTCCAGGGGGCCCTACGGGGCCCCACGGGGCCCCAGGGGGCCTCCTGGAGCCCCATGGGGTTCTGAGTCACAGGGGCCCCTTGCGGGGCCCTCTGAGGCCCTTAACACCTTGGGGTCCCCAGAAGCCCCTTGAGACCCTCAGCCCCTTGCGGGCCCCAAAGAACCTTTGGGGGCCCCTGGGGAAAATGGCTGCCTACCGTATTTGCTTCCTAAGTGGTGTTTAGAGGCCCCTGGACTCGTTTGTGCTGCAGCGCCCCGCTGCTGCGCTGTGGCGCTGCAGCAGTTGCTGCTGCTGCTGCTGCTGCTGCTGTCAGGCCAAATGCTACAGAAGAGGCGGCGGTTGCGTCTTGCATGCAAAGTCCGCAGCTTCAACTTCACTTCTTTTTGAAAGTCTTCACGAGATGACAAGTCCAGTTCGGCAAAAGGAGAGCAGCAGCAAAGTCGGCGGCTGAAGGTCGAGCTGCAGCAGCCAGAGTCACAAAGTGCTGCCGGCGCCGCCGCAGCAGCAGCAGCAGCAGGCGCAGCGCCCTCAGCTGCAGCTTCCGTCGCCAGAGCCGCCTTTCCACCTGCTGATGCAGCTGCACCTGCAGCTTGTGCTGCTGCAGCAGCAGCAGCAGCAGCAAGCGGGCTGCGCTGTACGTACAGCCCCGACCGCCGACAACGCATGCAGAAATCTTCATCTTCAAAGCCCCAGCCCTCGTAGCGAAGGTCGTGGCCTGCAGAGCAGCAAAAGTCCACAAGTTAGGGTTTAGAGTTTAGGGTTTAGGACTCGGGCCCTTGTACAGAGCCGCCTGGGGCCTCAGGGCCCGTAGCAGCAAACAGCCCCTAGAAGCCCCACATTTGCTAAAGCTGCATGCAGCACCTGCATGCAGCTGCTGCAGCATTCCTCGGGCCTGCTGCAGCGCATGCATGCGGCACTGCCGGGCCTTTGGGGCTGCATGCAGCTGCAACTGCAGCTTCTGCAGCTGCTGCAAGTGCTGCAACTTCTGCAGTTGCTGCAGCGGCTGCAGCTGCTTCAGCTGCTGCAGGTGCTGCAACTGCTGCAGTTGCTGCAGCGGCTGCAGCTGCTTCAGCTGCTGCAGGTGCTGCAACTGCTGCAGTTGCTGCAGCGGCTGTAGCTGCTTCAGCTGCTGCAGGTGCTGCAACTGCTACAGTTGCTGCAGCGGCTGCAGCTGCTTCAGCTGCTGCTGCTGCAGCTGCCGCAGCTCACCGTCAGCTGCTACGAAGTCCTCGAGAAGAAGACAAAAGACCATCGACAAAGCCCAGGGCTCTCCGTACAAATGCCGCACCACGCCTCTGCGGGGCGCCGGCAGGTAGGCGCCTGACGCAGCAGCAGCAGCAGCAGCAGCAGGAGTAGCAGCAGCAGGAGTAGCAGCAGCAGCAGTCGCAGCAAAAACGTCGATATATCGATATGCTTGTCTTTATTCACACACAATAATAGAAACATGATTATTTATTTATTTATTATCCTCCCAAATATATATATATATATATATATGAATATATATATATATATACATAATATATATATAAGAATATATATATATACATATATATATATATTTACATGCATTCTTATATGTATATATACAAAAGCATTTGTATTAAATATTATTGTATACACAAAGAGAGCCGCATGCGTGTAATGGCATTCTCTATTAGTACACAAACTCATCTATCTATATAAATATAAATATAACCACAAATATGAATATAAATATAAATATAAATATAAATATAAACATAAATATCATTATCAATATAAATTAAATATAAATACGAATATAAATATAAATACAAATATAAGTATAAACATAAATATAAATGTAAATATATATATATATATACACGTAAATACAGACATATATATCTATATATATATCTACGTCTATACATATCCAAGTATTAATAAATATACATCTATATATCTATATATATATACATCCATATTAACATATACTAGTATGAAAATAAATACATATATAGTACTTGGGGCTTAGAATGTATGCATCTCCATGCATGCATGCATGCACGCATGCATGTTTACGCATGCATGCACGTTTATGCATGCATGCATGCATGCAAGCATGCCTGCATGCATGCAAGTGCCTCACAAAGTTTTTCGTTTCTCCTTTTTGCCTCAACGGAGGGAATTCTTTTAGGGACACAATCGGCATCATGAAGACAAACAAAAAGACTCTTAGAAAAGCGAATTAAATTAATTACATTTGCTGCTGCGGAGCCCCAGGGGCTGCTGCAAAGCGCAGCAACGGGAAAGTCTGCTGCTGCTGCTGCTGCTGCTGGGGCAGCGGTGGGAGATGCTGCTGACGCGACGGCTGCAGCTGGCGCTGCTGTTGCTGTTGCTGCTGCTGCTGCGGCAGAGGAAGCTGCTGGCAGCAGCTGCCTGTGACGCGCAGCCCACAGGCAGCCGGCATTGAGGAGCAGGCCTGCAGCAGCAGCAGCAGCAGCAGCCGCAGCAACAGCAGCAGCAGCAGCAAGAGGATACCGCGTCTTCAATATTGGGCGTTACAGCCACAGCTGCAGCAGAAGCTGCGAAAGAGACATGAAAACTGAGACAGAGGCAGGCCGCAGCTGCTGCTGCAGCAGCAGCTGCAGCAGCAGCAGCTGCTGCTGCTGCTGCAGGGGAAAGTGGCGCCAAATGAAAAAGCATTAAGAGAAAATGAAAGGAAAGAAGGAAACAAAATAAAAAATAAAATAAAATAAAGCAACTGCCTCACCTCTGTGGAAAGGGCCCTTGTCTTGCTGCTCCACCACGACGAAGCAAAACTCCGTCTTCCCACGGGGCCAGCCTTCTTGCTGCTGCTGCTGCTGCTGCTGCTGCAGTATTAGGGTGTCCAGATAGTTTGAAACTCTGTCTAACATGATTTGCAGGTGCTCAAATCTGTTCCTAAAGGGTATGACAATAAGCATCATCTCGTCTGCTGCCAGCTGCTGCTGTTGCTGCTGCTGCTGCTGCTGCTGCTGCAGTGAATCTGCTTCCGCCTCATTTCCTTTAAGTTCGAACTGCAGCGGGGGCCTTCCGAAGAGGCTTGAGAGCAGCTCTGCGTAGGAGCGCTTTGGGGTGTATACGCTGTTTAAGGGTTTAGCGTTTAGGGTTTGCGAAGGGTTTGAGGCTGCAGCCCCGCCGTCCTGCAAAGCCCCGCAAAGCCCCTCAGCCTCAGCAGCTTTGAAGGCCCGCTGCATTTGCCGTGCTGCAGCAGCAGCTGCTGCTGCTGCTCCTTCTGCTGCTGCTGCTGCGCCTGCAGAGCCCGCTGCGGTGCCGGCCGGCGCAGCTGTATCTTCGGTTGCTGCTGGTGCTGCAGCAGCAGCATGCGGCCTGCTGCTGCAGCTGTTGAACTTGTTGGCTGCTGCGCTTGCTGCTGCAGCTGCTGATTCTGCTGCTGCAGCGATGCTGCAGCTGCTAGAGCGGCAGCACCTGCTGTTGCTAGTAGTTTTGCGGCTGCTGCAGCATGCTGCAGCAGCAGCTGCAGCAGAGAGCTAGGCCTGCCTCTGCAGCAAGGGGCTTGCCAACTGGGCAAGCAGCAGCAGCAGCCAGTAGCAGCAGCAGCGGCTGCTACTTTTGCTGCTGCTGCTGCTGCTGTTGCTGCTCTACACTGAAGGGAATGGGATGTCTGCCAACCGCTGGACTTGAGCCTTTGTTATTATTTTTGTCACAGACAACAATAGCCCTACTGCTGCTGCTGCTGCTGCTGCTGCTACTCTTACTGTGCCACGCTGTTGCTGGTTCTGCTGCTGCTATAGTTGTGTTTTGCTTCTGCTGCTGCTCCTGCTGCTGCGCTTTTTGCTCTCATTGCGGCATGCTGCTGCTGCGGTTGCAGCTGCTCTCACTGTGCCATGCTGTTGCTTCCTCTTCTGCTGCTGCTGCTGCTGCTGCTCTCATTTTGGCATGCTGATGCTGCTGCTGCTCTCACTGTGGCATACCGCTACTGCTGCTGCTCTCTCTATGGCATGCTTTTGCCGCTGCCGCTGCTGCTCCTTCTGTGAGTTGCTGTCGCTGCTGCTGCGGTTCCTCCCGCCCTATACACACGCTGCAGCAGCAGCAGCAAGTTCTGTCTTTTGCATTCCTTGGTGCTGCTGCTTTGTGAGCTTGAGTTTGAGGTGTACGTACACTGCAGGCGGCACCAGCAGTACACATAAACCCTCAACTTTTCGTTTCCTTTCTTTTCAGGGTCCAATATAATACATTTCAATAAAAAGCAATGAACTAGGGTTTAGGGTTTGCAGCCGCAGATCTCGTAGCTGCAGAAGGCAGTGGGTTCAAGATCTGGGGGCCCCCGGGGGGG